AACATCCCATATATGGCACGAAGGATCACAACATAGATCACTCTCTTGCCATTCTCATAAACAACATAATCGCGATAGGTCGGGTCCAAATCGATCATGTATTGGACCATCAGTCCAGTTACCTTCATGATCACCCGATCCTCTCCATCACCTAAATCTGGCATTAAGGTCTGAATGAATGCATTTGGAATATCCATTGACATCATGCATCTACCTTCGTGCGCGTCAATCACTCCTGTGCAACAGATACCTTCATGCGATGCGGTTGGGCTAGCTGTGTCTTCCCGAGACAGCCAGTCTCTTGTCTCATTTCCTTTATATACAAAACGACCTTTGATATCACCACTGTTTTTCTCTGCCAGTAACATCATCGCGTCGACTGCTTTCCTATTCTCGGATTCAGTCAATTCACCAATACTGATGGGTGTCCAGCAACTTCGTTTGATCAGTTGATCAAGTTCCTTGAGCGCAGCTTCTTTTCCTCGTTCTTTGAAAATTTTCAATCCTTGGTTAAGATAATACTGCTGAATAAATGACACTCCATCCCTTGTGTACACTTCGTCACGGATCTGTTGGTTGTTTTGTTCCGCCGTGGGATCATGTTCCCCCTGGCTCGCATAATTCATATCAACATTCATCTCATCTTTAACATCATCAAAAACTGGTCTAAATTCACCATCACAGTAGATAGTCTTGATTGTAAAATCAGCATGGTTGTAAATGCGCAACACGTGATCGATTGCGTATACAACGACTCCGCAGTCCTGCTTCGTAGTGGTACAAAAGTTTGATATCGGACACTACCATCAATTGTAGTCAATCCGAATGTGTTATTGATGAATGCAATGTTGTGGACCAACAATTCATGTGGGATCTCAACCCAATCATCCCGGATTGCTTCCGGGGTAGGACGCTTAGTCTTTCCTTTAAGAACTGAAGCGCTTGGTCCATAAATCCTATCAGCAATAACAATGTCTTCTTCTCTGATGGGACAATTCTTGAATAAACCTGAGCGTACGGCAACTTTGAATGCTTCAATCCCTGGTGCACCACCCATGTGATACCCGGATCTTGCAGCGTTCGCTCGGTCAACTTGTTGTGGGGTGTAACCCTCTATGTTATTTTTTACAGTTTGGAGACCAGAGTAACGGGAAGTATGTTGACTAGTTGTATTATCGTTGCCGCCATGATACGATTCACCCGGCACGAAACCAACGTGGGCTCTGCACGACCTGCAGGCTTCACCCGTCGGTCCAATTTCCATGCACACATTGCAGTGACTCTGCCCCTCATGGGGTTCATAAGTATACAACCCATCCTTTTCTCTGTAAATCCATTGATTCCCATCTTTGGAAACAAAAAATGCATTTACTACGTCAGTATCCATCACAATACGATACCCTTCTTTTACCAATAAAGACGCGCTGTCCACATCACAGATGGCATCGGCGTCATACTTACACATATTATTCATATGTTTACTCTCAACTTCATGTGTTAGATTCCTTCCTCCTCCGACATTTGTTCCATAATTGAACATATACGGAAGCTCTTTCAATGTTCCCATCTTCGCATTCATCGAATCTTTGCGAAGGTGAAATGTCAAACCAGTGTCAAGGGACGGACCTGTTGCGCCCGAACGAAACCACTTCGGATCATGCATGTCAAAATGCTCCGGAATCTTGCCATCCTTATAATCATTTGAATCAAGATATACCAGATCGCCGCTATC